CACCCTCAAGATGTGTACTCATGAATAGCCTACAATACCTTATTAATATAATGAACAATTATAGTTCCATGCACACGCCAACTCAATAATAACTAAAATAATTTCGAACTATATTTCATAAGTGGTAGCATTAGTTATATTACATTTATGTTTCTTCATTAAAGCACCAGCATCTTATGCTCAAGCTCATATTTGGCTTGATGAACAAATTCGATTTCACCCGGAGAAACCACAAGTCGCTATCTATAATACGCCTTTTGTTTATCGTCTCTATTCAAACAACACTGTATCAATTAGACAACTTCGTTATGCTCTTGAACTCACTGTTTTCAATCATGAATCACTTCATACATCACTCGTCTTTGATACAGAGAACAAAATACTTATGCAACAAGTTATCATAAAGAAGGAGCACAACAATAATTTTTTTCCAGTTATGGAAAGTACTTATGAAACAGATGAACAACTCAATGAGGTTTTACACGACGAGAAACGTAATCCTCATCTTTTTGATCTTGGTCAAGGTCGTGTCTTTCGATGTCATATTATTTACTATAAACAAATATCTTTAAACGATCTACTTTCTGACAAAGATCTACTTATTTTCAACTTTCATCATGCTTTATTTGATTTTGCATCCATCAATATCTTCCTTCATGACCTCAATCAAGCATATACAACAAGTCAACTATCTAACAATGACAACACTAATCTTCGTTATCTCGACTGTAAATATAAATACTACTTCTACTTTTCTCTTCTCTAATATATTATTTTCTTTTCTTATGTAGATGCTGTTATTGAACAACAAATGTCAATGACTGGTGCAAGCATGTTTTGGCTCGATGCTCTTCATGACTGTAAACTTGATCAACCTTTATCGTTACCATTTGATCGATATCGTCTCTCAAATGAGCATCGAAGTGCTCGTGGAACATCGATTTCATTTGATCTTGGTCAAGATCTCTCACATGACTTTCTTATTTATGCATCATCAAATAACATATCACTTGAACACCTCACATTTGCTATTTATTTCATCTTTCTATTTAAATTAACTAATGGACAAACAGATCTATGTGTTGCTATGAACATCAATAATAATCGATATAGAGATGAACTCAAATCAGTCATTGGATTATTTGAGAGTGTCATCCCATTACGATGTCAGTTAGATCCTCATTGGTGTTTTCATCAATCCCTCGAACATGTTCAAGAGGTAACAAAAAATAGTATGAAATATTCATATTTTCCTCTTCAGCGTATTCTCAATCAACATCCACATATTTCGAAACATGCATTTTTGAACACGTCTCTTGAATTTATATCATACAATGCTAGCACTGGCAACAATACAATTGTGATTGGTGATTCTCAAATTGTTCCAGCATCTTTTTCATTTAAATCTGATGAAGATGAGATATTAAGTGTGTCCGACTTCTCTCTTTCTATTTATCATGATATAAACATAAACCAACTCTCATGCAGAATCAATGCATCACTTGACTTGCTCAATAGAGAGACAGTGGAGAAGATTTCACAACGATTTCATTTCATGTTACATCAATTATCTGCATCTATTATTAACGATGAAATAAATAAACCAATCTATGAAATACAATTAGTATTACCAAATGAACGATGTCTAATGCAGTCATTGAACAATACACAAATATCATTTTCATCTCCACTCACTTGTATTCATCATGAATTTGTATATCAAGTAATGAAACATCCACAAAAACTAGCAGTTGAACTAGATGAACAATCATTAACATATTGTGAACTCTTATATTATGTTCAAGTGTTATCTTCCACTCTTCTTAATGAATATGATGTCTTTCCAGGTGAGATCGTGTGTCAATGTGTTGAGCGAAGTTTATTAATGGTAAGTTAATTAAGATGAGTAACAATTAATGTGAGTTTGAGATTGATTAGGTGATTGGTATTATGGGAATTGAAATGGCAGGTGGTGTTTATTGTGCATTGTCACCTCGAGATTCACAACATCGTTTGCATGCACTTACACAACAAACACAAAGTCGTCTTGTTCTTGTTCATCGTTTTACAATAAATAAGGTTAATGATAATATAATTTCAGTCAATATTGATTTAGTATGGGCTAGCAACGATATGAACAGTGATACTGATCTTGATCAACTATCAAGTATAAACGTTACATCTGACAATGTAGCTTACATCACTTTCACAAGTGACTCAACTGGCGTTCCGAAAGCGGTTTGTCTTTGCTGGATTCTAAAATATATGCTTCATCTCTTCTCTTTGTTTTAGACTCAGACAAGACATAAAAATCTGCTAAGTTTCATATATTCCCTTCAGTATATTAACTTTATTAACGAAAAGGACACTGCAATGCAAGTTTTTGCTTCTACATTTGATGCACATATTCTGGAAATCGTTGGTGCTTTACTGTCAAGCGCGACTGTTGTCATGTTACATTCTTACGGGAATATGGATTTTTTATATTTCGCAAATATACTGCAATCCAAACAAATTACGTATATGGCATCTGTTCCTAGTTTCTTGTATAGTTTCTGTGATTTTATTGGAAAGAGTTTTAGTGATAATCCTTTAGTTACAATGCGATCGCTTTCAATTGGCGGTTAGTAGAATACACAGAAAAAAACAATTACACAACCTTTTCCTAAATTTCTAGGTGAAATTGTCTCTCAGAAGTTGATATATCATCTGAAGCACTACGTGGAGAAGACATGCTACATATGGGATGTATACGGACCGGCTGAAACAACAATGCTATCGACATTTTATCTTGTTGACATTATCTCTGATCATTTAGATGTTCCAATAGGTAGTCTTCTTGCTAATTACCAATGCAAGGTGTTTGATATATATTTACAATCTGTTGCTATTGGTGAAGAAGCAGAATTATTTGTTGGAGGAGCAGGTGTCTTTGCGGGTTATCTTGGACGTGATGATTTAACTGCTAAAGCTCTTCTTGAAATAGATGGTCAACTATTTTATCGAACAGGTGATCTAGTTAGAATAGGTAACAATGGACTGATTCATTATCAAGGAAGGAAAGATCATCAAATCAAATCACATGGACAAAGAATTGAACTTGGTGAAATCGAACGAAGTCTACTTAACATTACATCTATTTCTGCTTGTGTTGTCATAAAATGGAATGATGATTATTTAGTTGCTTATGTTCAAAGTTCTGATACTAATGAACAAGAATTGCGTGAACATTGTCAATCTCATCTTCCACCACATATGATACCATCCATATTTGTTATACTTGATAACTTACCTTTGAATGCAAATGGAAAAATAGATCGAAAACAACTTCCTTCACCTATCTTTTCTTCGACTCAACTTTCATCCTATGAATCTGATACTCCTCTTAATAAGTTCGAAGAACGTGTACACACTATTTGGTGTCAAGTCCTTCATTCTAATGAAAATCAAATTTCGGCAACTACCAGTTTTTTTAGTGCTGGTGGTCATTCACTTTGCTTCATCGAACTCTATTATCGTTATCAGTCATTATTCAGTTTTGATGCTCATTCACTCTCGATTGGTCTTTTTCTTCAGCAACCAACTATTCGACAACATGCACAACTACTTCAAACACTTCCATCCAATGATACGCAGACAACACAATGGCAATCACTACATATCAATCAAGGTAAAACATTTTTAAATTAAGAAACATTCATCAAATATATAAACCCCCTGATTTCTCTTGTAGACATTACTTCGAATTTTTTCGAACATCCGTTTGTTGTGATCAATGAAAGTTGCGATAATGTTTTGTTCATTTTGCCGCCTGGCGAGGGAGGTGCCGAAAGCTACTTCAACAACATTGTGCCTCATTTATCGCAATATAAACTGGTAATATTCAACAATTACTATCTGGATGTTCAAGCAAAAAATATGGAAAAAGACTTCTCGTTCGAGGCGCTAGCTTCTGTATACATAAAGTATATAAAAGAAATCCAACATGATGGTCCATACAACTTTCTAGGCTGGAGTTTTGGCGGCATTTTATCGTTTGAAATTTCTCGTCAATTGATTAATGCTGGCGAGAAGGTTGATAATATTTTTATGATCGACTCATACTTTAATGTAAGCAAGGCTTCTTTTGAAATTGGCAAAATACATCAAGTATATATTGACGATTCAATGAACTATTATTTACCAATGATGGACAACGAACCGTTCGGATTAAATATAACCAACAGAAATACAAACATTGTATTATTTAAAGCTAACAAGATGGATGAAAACTTTACATTGAACGATGATTTCGAATTATCATCACACTACACCAATACATTATTTAATAATCTTGACACACTAGTGGATCATGAATATATTCAATTATTTCAAATGTATGGCGACAGTCATGCTTCTTGGATATTTCATGAAAAGCAAATTCTCAACATGTGCAACTATGTAGCGGGTTTATTAAAATAAACAACAAACAGAATAAATACGGTAATTTAGTAATCAGTTACCTTACAACAAAAGAAAGAAAATTTTCATTTTATTTTAGTTTTGTTTGCTTTTAAATATATTATTTTGTAATCATTAATATATACGTTTCTTGAACACACAATAATCATTTTAGTTTGATTCTTTTAATATATCTTATTTTTTGTTAGCTATTTTTAATTATAATTAAAAATCTAATAAATATCAATATTATCACTTGTGAGACGTCATAAACAAGATTAAATAAAAATAAATGAAATACTTGCACTGTATCACTTAATATTAAAGAACTACTGTTCACTCTGATTTTAATGTATTCATAGTATCGTTATTTTTCTTAGTACTATTTAATTTTAATTTTAAAAAGGCATATATTTTTGCACAATATTTTATTGAGAATGCCCAGTATTTTTTCCATCTCATGTTCAGTATGTTTTGCTCAGTGAACTATTATTTTCTGCGTAGTATATAATTCGAATTGCACAGTATTAAATTCTAGAAAGCTCAGTATTTAATTATTTTTCGCTGAGTAAGCAATTTTTTTTTTGTTCGGTATATTTTAATTAATTTCAGTAAAATAGTACATAGATAAGTAATAGATAATCATTGAATCAATAGTGCTTTCTTGGTATTTGGTGGCTTACCATAACGTCGTTTTCACCAATTCTAATATCATTAGCAACAGATGGTGGCTTACAGTAGTTTAACCTGATTGTAACACCCACAACATGTTTACACATAAACTTCTTTAAAAAATCAGCAATTACAAGATGTTCTCACCATTTTAATTTATCGACTGCTAATGGATGACACATCATGTATCGAACGCCTCTTTTTTATATTGGTCAAAGGAGTACCATTTCAATTTCTTCATTGCGTCAATATCAACGTTGGTAATTGTTGTTTGATGTCGATTAAGTATGAAGTATTCAACAGAATTATCGAATTCAATCAAGAACTTTGTCTTGTTCGATTTGATCCATAAATTTAAAGTTATTGTTTGTTTGTCTTTGTAATACTTTAAACCTCGTTCGTATGATTTGGACTATTTCTGAACAATATCGAACCCAGGTCGAAGCGAACAACTACTAGAATCCGTCTCATACGACACCACTTAATCTGATCTTGTTAATTAATGTCAAATCCTTGACATTGAGGCTGGGTGTGAGTGTGAGTGAAGAGAAGAGCATCATCTACACCCACCCTCAAAATGGTAACAAGTCTCTAAATAATGACGATGCGGCATCACTGTGTTTTATTAAAAGCACTCATTATCGCTTACCATTTGACCGAATAAAGCCATTGATTTATTCAGAAAATCCAGATTTAAAAATAACAGTGACTTTCATCGACATTCAAAGCTTGGATAAGGACAGAACAACTGTCAATAATCATATTGAATAGGGTAATTATTCAGATGAAATTTGTGAAGCTGAATGTCATATTTATCTATTGATATTTGATGATGAACTTCACTACCAGAACTAAAACAAGTACAAGTATCGCAAACACAAGTATTATACTTGTATTTTAAGAAGGGTACTTGGTACTTGTACATGAGAGGTAAATACAATATATATTTTCTAAATAAGATTAGTATATCTGATTATTATTATGCACTCATAGTTTACAACGTGATTTATTTAATATTCTCTCATGATATATATGTTTAATTACAACAGTTAGAATAAATATAGTGAACGCAAAAGATTTTCTACAATGCGATGAGTAAATGATATCAAATAGTACTGTTTACATAAGAATTCTATATCTTCATCTAGCAGATGGTTTTAAAAATAACTCCTAGTTTTGATGTACTTATATGTTTCTTCTTCACTTTTTTATTAGTAATTGTTTTATTAATGTCACATTTTTGCAATTTTCATTTTTAAAATACATGCTTCCAGACGACTACACAATCCGACGGGTCTTAATTTTTATGTACAATTCTGCCCGAAACTGTACAACATAATTTTATGCAAGACATAAATGGAATAAAAAACTACAGTAGGGTGTGGGTGTGAGTGTGGATGTGAGGCGGGTGAGAGATGGATATAATAACCACACTCTGTTTATAACGGATAGCAATATTTGTAAAAAAAGAATTTTTGATACGCACTTCCACACCTTTTAAATGAACAGATGCAAATCGTAACTTTCTTATAAGGTTATGTGTGCACGTGACGAATTCGTTTTCTTAAGAATATAATGAATTGATTCGATTGTTTTAAACGAACTTAATTCAATGTTTATGAGATGATCAGTTCAGTTTGCCAAAACTATGATTTAATAAACACATTTCGTAAGAACCTTATCGAATAAATTTCATTCTAGTAAATTAAACTACTTTTATGTAAGATTTATTGCATACGCATTATTCTAATTTAATGAAAATAATTCTTGATTTGATAATACGATTTACAATTTTTGTGATAATCGAAAAAGCTTTGCGCCACATTTTTGCATACAATTCGACTTCTGTGCTATCTTTATCTGTAAATACTATCCATCATACTTTATTTATTTATTTATATTTCAGAACTATCATCCACTTTATGTACATATTGATAAAAGATCTTGTTGTTTAAATCATTTGAATGAAACTAAATGTATTCTCAAAAGTGATTATAAAAGTAAATCAATTGTTATTAACTTTTTTTCTATTGAATAATTAAAACAAAATAGCACTTATTATGTTTAAAACATTTTGATTCATTAGTTCTTCATCTTGATATTAGCCATTAAAATAATATTATTTTATTGAAAATATGCATAATTGAATATATAACGACAGAAAAGTTTCTAAATTGCCGTGGTTTGTTTGTCAGTTAGAAAACTATTAATTGTATATTGTTAAATTATCACGATGGATGAATGAATTTCAAAATCATATATTATGCAAATATGTTTAAAAAGACTCGCTATGAAATCATCGTAAGCCATTTTCTTGGTTTGCCATAACGATCTTGACCAAGTACTTCACTAATATTACAAATTATGTAGAAAATATAAATATATTGTACAAAGCTTCTTGTTGAAGACTGTAACATGAATAAAGTGATTCTCTTGATATCTATAAATTACTAAACTATTTACAACAGATATCTGACATTCATTATGATTATTATGTTATTATTCACGACTTGCGTTCATAGAATTTCATGATTACATTCAAAGTATACCAATGATCGATAATTTATTAGAAATTCTAAAAGATAAGCATTTTTTCTGAGAAGACTAAACAGCAAGTAGAAGATACATTAAAAAAAAAAACAAAATTTCATTTTTCGATAGGTTGAATTGTATTTCAATAAATTTTAAAAAGATGTTTGTCGATACGAGATTAAGAAAACCGATTAGATATACATATATGTATGTCAATAATTGAAGGGCACCGATGCTTGTCTCCTTGTTAATAAAATGTACATCACTTGTATTCATTTAATTTGTCATTTTTGATTGTATCATTTTCTTTTTACCGTGAGATTGCTGTCTACATATATATTTGTTTAATTACGCAAGGTACACTTTAATTGACAGAAAAACAATATTTCATGTTTACTGTTCTAGTTTCATACTATCTCAAAGACCATGAATTTAATCTATTTTGCTCAAAAAAAATAAGATAAATGCATTTACATGAAATCATTTATCTTATGTTTTGGTGATGTTTTGAAAATAACAGATTATTTTTTTTTGCAATTAGAAAATTCAATACATAAACATCATATCACATAGAAGAACAGTATTTAGGAAAGATATTATACATAGACGTCAAATCAAGTTTCTTTTTGACCTATATTAGTAGGCTAATAAATTTACAAAGTCAATACTAATAGAACAGATCATGAAGTAATTACTTTCATTCTATGTCTAACCTTCACCGTTGTTTATTAGTTTCATTTTTTGGTAATAACGTCTATTACTCTGTCTGTTCTAACCATAAACAAGATAAGTACAAACTCTCTAAGAATCTATGATAATAATGTTGACGTTTGTAAGAAGAAGAAGAAAAAATAGTATTTTAATCTATATAACTTTATCATTTTTCTCGTCATCATCAAAAGAAAAAAGAGTTTGAATTTGTCAACAAAAAAGAAATCCTTATAAAAACTTTACTATATCTTTACCATTACGATGATTATTACGTCATAAAATAAATGTCATATTTATATTATCAAACTATTTTACATTTTATTTTCCTTTCTATT